TCATTTTTCTCTAGTTTTTAATACTTGCTGCGATTGTCATTTTGTTGGGTGACAATATTTTTATTCACGTAACTCAACAATTCATGTTTTGATTGTTGTTTTTTTGTGGTTTAAGACTAACTTTTCGTCGCCAGCGACTTTTCTGTGATTGGTCAATTGCAATTTTTTATAACTCCATAAATATTCAGCGTACGGAATTTTTGTAAAGGGATTTTCTGTTTCATTTCTTCTCCTCAATACGTCTATGTACTCAGTTTCTGACCCAACTGTAACACCCTGTATATAGCATGGGTCTCTATTTTTATTGTTTATAACAATTTAAAAGTTTTTATTTAAATATTACCATGATCAATAATCATTTGTTAATAACAATGTTCAATTGTTATGGACAGAATTCCATATTATTAACAATTATTATTGACTATTATAGCGTCTTTAATGATGTTTTCTCAATCCTGACACGGGTTTAAAATTCTTTCATTGCTGATTTTGCTATGTAAAATTCTTTTTTCGGTGAAGTATTGGCGTCATATTTTCATACAAGTATTTCGATCATTCAATATTCATATTTTTTTTTTAATTTTGTCTTGAAAATGATATAATTTATAAATTTTACAATTCAGGTCGTTTTCCATTTTTGCTAATTTTTTTGTTCTGCATAAGAAACTACTGGACCGATTTTGTTGAGAACCTAATCAGTTCTAAGTTGCGCAATTACGTGTCGAATGCAGTTCCACGTCGATATCATTTTTTGTTCTCGAGATAATCGACCAGGAAAATTCCGAACGAATGTACTCACATACGTACATTGTCATCCCTATGAAATTGAGAGTAAACCTATTAAACGTTTTAATATAATTTGATTACCACAGAAAAAATTAGTTTGATCAAAAGAAAATTTGAAATTCGCTGTGGAGGTTTTTTGCTTATACGGATTTGTTGCTTAAATATATACCTAAAATCAAATTTACAGAAACTCAGTTCGAACAAATTCTGTGATTGATGAGATTCGATCCTAGTACGCTTCTGACTGCACTATTCTAAACCATAGAGACATGACTTTTACTAAATCTATTTCCAAGCTAGTTTTTTAAAGCAGAAAAAAAGTATTATTATTTGTATAAATATGACAGATGAAATGCAACTCAGACATTATATCTTTATTTTATATTACTTGAATAAGGAACACTAGCAAAATTCCTGTAGGCAACTGATGCATTAAAAAAACTAGAAATACACTGCGCGCTCTCTAAGCACGCTGTCTCAAGTCAACAACGTGAAAAAATTTTTTTTTTTTTTAATTTATTTTGAAAATTTAAAAAAATTAAATTGACCAATCAGCGCACGAGTAAATGATTACGCTTTTCTGATGGGTCAATTTAATGTTGTATTCTTTATTTATTGTTTTTTGGTATTTCTTACGGTTATTTTCGAATTTTTTTTTGTTGTTACCTTTATTGAATTGTAATTTCTACGATTTTATAGAAAAATATATTACAAATATTTAATAATATTTACGCGAACCGTTTTTGTAATTGTATCTTATTACCTGACAGTAAGTCATGAGTTGTAATAGATAGGAAATAAGACTTTTCGTCATACCCGCACGGAAAGTTCACTTTTCCATTGGAGAGGGGTTGAACTTTCCACGCAGGTATGACGAAAAATCATATTCAGCCCTAGAGAAGACAATTAGACTAGCTTAAACCACGTGTTTACTACCCTCGCCTTCGGCTCGGGTTGTAATTTTACACGTGGTTTGAGCTAGACTACTTTCCCTCCCTAGGTGTGAAATGTACTATTAGCTATTCAACTATTTTTTTGCCTCCCACATTAATCTTAACAGCCACAATAAGATTCGATATTGTTTGATAGGTGAATTTTGTCAATTTCATCACTACAAAATTGGTTAAACAGCTCACTTTGTCTGCGCAGATTGAGTTTTTTGCTGAAATAGAGTGTTTGACCATTTCTGCAATCGCAAATAATATTTTACAAACGGTGATCAATGCAGAGTAGATATGTATACCAAAAGATACTCAGTTAGCAGATTTAATATATAACAGTCCTACAGATATTGATACCTTGATTCGAGCAGGTCTGTATTGAAGATTCTTCTAGGTGCGTTTTGAAATCGAATCAAAGGACCACAAGCATTGGAACATACAAAATTCGGTTAAATTCTTGACGGCAAAGTATTGGAAGAATCGGTAAAAACTCCAACATGTTGAATAATGACTAATGCACCGCTTAACCAACAGCCTGAAAAATTTCAGAAACAGGTATCAATTTCAAAGAAGTATCATGATACAAGGAAAGACATAATCTTTAAACAATATTTTAGAAAGGTAACTCAGAGAAATTCAGAAGGAAAATTCATTATACGCTTACCGACACGGTCGAATATCACACTCGGCGAATCTGAAGATTCAGCCGGACTAACTAGACTTAAACATTTTAAAAGTTAAAAGAAATTGAGAAACGGGGACGAGGAAGCATTTCTAGATAGGATCGAGAATGTTAAACTATAGAGCGACAGTATCTTCGTTCTTGGATGGTTGCAGAATGAATCAAGATTATTCAAGACCTTTGTTGCGAACAGAGTAACAGAAATAATAGATTCAACAGAATCCTGCAGAACTCATTTCCCGAGGAACTTCAATTGATAACCTCATAGACAGCAATCTTTGATGATACAGACCTGACTAATTAAGTGCAGAGAATCATCATTCGTCCCTAAGGAGTAAACAAAAAATAATCCTTTCGGAACTTAAGAGTACATCAGTAACTTTAGTGGTATTATCTACAGCAAGAATACTGCAAAAATATTTATTACATTAGAAGTTACTGCAAATCATAGCATATTGCTGTTATTCCAAATCAGCAATCGAAAGAAGAAATGAAACTGGGTTAATAAGCGCCACTAAAATAAATGAAGCTGAAATCACCATCGTACGATGGCTTCAACAAAAACAATTCCCAAAGGAACTGCATCTGCTGAAATATCGAACAAAGTCACTTTGGAAAAGCTTATTACACTCATTATGTCTAATTATTGATAAAAATGGATCGATTAGAGTAGGAGAAAGACTAACTAATAACCTGATTCAATACAATTCAAGAAAAATTTTTAACACTAAGAGTTAAGTCAGTTAAAAGTCAAATTTTCAAAAATTTGAAAAAAATCATCATCATACGAAGCGGATTATATCATTCAACTACGTCAAAACGACCTTCCAGCATTTTCTAAATTCTAAAAATATCATTTAGTAAATTTTAGATACATACAGACGTTCCCCAAAAACTAAAGTTCCAGCAAATTTCCTTTACTCTTATGAGAAAATAAAATCAAATTATTTTTTGTTGAACGTGCTTTAACAGCTTGAAGAATCTTACAATTCTTATTCGAATGATCTTCACTTCCACAATCACAACATCTAAATTCATGAAAATAATTTTGATTATTAAATGATTTCTCATTTTTTTCATGAGAATCAGCATGATTATTATTATCATTGAAAATTGAATTTCCAGCATCAGGGTGATTATATATATATTATTATACTATATTATAATTTTGGAAAAATAACTTTAAAGTTGCCAATTATTAAAATTTAGAATTGTTTTTTTAAAATGTATCAACAATAAAATTTGCAGACAAAAATTCTTCTATCATTTTTCCGAATTTTGCGAACTCTGAATGTTCGGAAAAATTGGGGTGCTGAGTGCCCGTTACTGAGTGCGAGAGAGACAGCGTATTGGACGCACTTTTTGCACTCATTGCAAGTTTTTAAGCACAATAAACGTGCTTAGGGAAATTGTAATATAAGCGAAACCCTTAGAATAGAAAGAACGGGTTTTGTTTATGTATTGAAAATAAAAGAAAGAGAAGTTGACTTCACAAAGTCAGCATTCTCAAAATATAAAATAAAAAGAAAGTTAACATTCAAACCAGAGGTGGTAATTATAATATTATAATAATTTTGATTTTGAGTCTATTAAAAATATTTTATTTCGGCATTTTTTCAAAAAGTGACATAGGGTATTTGCTTAGAGAGGGTTAAAATGTATATATTGTTTCATCAACTAACAAACTGTCGTTACTCAATAAATTCATAGATGGAGACATGCATATATTTTACAATATCATACGAAAACGGTATCAGCTAATCAGTGGCCGAAGAGCAGCAAAAAAGATCATAAAGCAGTGCACTAGATGCTTCCATTTTTGTCCTACAATCCCTGACTTAATGATAGGTGATGACGTGAAGAGGGTAGAATCAATTGACAGAACATTGTTAAATATATCGCTGCATTTATTTGCTTCAGTACTAAAGCTATTTATCTATTTACCATGGATCTTATCACCAAGTTATTTCTAGCGGTCTTGAGTCGATTTACCTTTTGTGATAGAAATTGTGCACATTCATTTCTAGATAGTGGTACCAACTTTATTGATGCTTCAAGAAAGTCAATAGAAGTTTTAAAATTTTTAATAGAAAACTGACAAAAAATAGCTTCACAGCTCGCAAAATAAAGAATTAATTAAAGTTTCAGAAAAGTATCGACGATAAGCATGTAAAACCTTTAAATTACTTCGGAACGGTCTATCTTTGGGGGTCCGTTCTGCTAAAAAAATGAATATCAGCCAAAAAAAAAACAAATATTTACATAGCCACAAGAAAATCGGGATACTTTCCATGTATGATTAACTTTAGTACGGGAACGGATTTGTCTTATATTTGTTTCATTTAATAGTTATCTATATTACTTAACAACTTTATATTTAGCAATGAGATAAAGTGTAATTTAATTTTTCTGGGACGAGATAATCATTACACTAGTAATGAGTCCTTTTATTAAAATGCTTGTTAACATATATTTTCGTATACTACATAGTTACGATTTTCAGAAACAAGTAATCTCTAATTGAAAATTCGTTTGTGTCCAGATATTGACGAATTTTTATTCTTTGTTATAAAAATTGGTATATTATTTACCTGTGTACTATTATCTTCACTACTTGTATGGATGACTGATGCTACAGGAACTCGTTGATCATCTAATTCACTATTGTCATTATATAAATCCTGATATGCATTGATCTCTGACGATTTTATTGGTGGAGTTGGTATCGATAATTCTAATTGTCCAATTAAATTTATATCAAAATCACCAGGTAAGATCGATGGGTGTTGAATCAATTGAGTATTTAAATCAATTAATGAATCTTGAATTACCACTATGCTCCTAAAAAGTGGTTCTTCCAGCAATGAAATCAATAAACTGACATCATCACTCGTGTGCAAATGAAATTCCAATTTATCGTTGTCCTTGACTCTGTTATGAATATGGACCAATAGATGCAGTGCAGTAGAAATATCTAATAAATATAAAGTTCAACAGAATTTAGTATCAACATGATTACAATCACTATAGTAATAATCATTCTGCAATTAGTTATGACAGCTTTTATCAATTGCAGAAAAATCTGCCAACAGAAAAAATCCCCCAATTATTTTCATTTAGAAATTGTTTTTCATTAATTAACAACTGAGGCTTCAGTAGAATCTTGTCTTAGCTTTCCATAGTATTACATATATAGAACTTAGAATTATATAAGATAGTACTTGACCACGATGTTGAACACAATAATAATATAAAAGTTACATTGCAGTATAATCAGAGGAACTTTTAGATTTCAAGTTAAACATATGATATAAATAAGATTAAAGCTATGTCTCAATCCCACACGCCTGAAGAAAGTAAAACATATGGAGACAGGCAGTAATATTAGGTTCGGTAATTTGTGATTCAGCTGATAAAGGACGCTGTTTTAACTTTTTTAGAGTGGATACGAACTTAAGTCTGTACGAGTTATATAATTTACACTGTCACAATACATAGTAAAGTGTCACATTTTTTCTTCGCATTTACACTTAGGATGATTGAGGTATCCAATTCGAACTAGTGAATCCATTAAATAACAGTGATATGCTCTGTATCTATTAATGAAGATGGTGGATGCTCTTTTAAAAGTAATAGTTTCTGTTTTTGAATATTCTTTTAAAAACTGTAATGTATTCATTAATTTCAATAAAAACCTTTTAAAGAGGGTAGATTGAGTTAACTTGATTTAAGGAGGTTCTTGCATTTATGAAATGAGAAATTATAATTTGTAATTAATACAATTAATCTTAGCCATGTTACGAATCTAAATCCGGCTGCTTATATTTTTTGATCGTTTATTTTGTCTATTATTTAATTTCAAAATATGAGAAATTTACATAGCAGACATAGGAAAATCAGTGTTATACGATATATATCTTTTTTTTTGTAACTGCTTAGAAAAGATTATTTAATCAAAAACAGTTCATTTAATGTAAAAAATATTGCTCTAGCAAACAATTGTTTAATAGAATTATTTTATTGTTTAGTTAATTAATAATTATTAATTTTCCAATGTGGAATTAATCATTTTGGAACCAAAAGCACTTTCACACATTTAGACTTGGCAACGTCGATGCTATCCACCGCTATTTTGACGGCGCGTAATTTGAAACTCAAATCATCGCTAAACGTATTTTCTACGAAATCAGAATAGCACATTACCAAGAAAAAAGTTCAATTATATGTATTTACACGTAAACGTTGTAATAAGTAGCAAATTTAACATTCGAAATGATTCGATTACTTCGTAAAAATACATGAACAACTGCAGTTTTTATTTAAGATTTATTTTCTAACAATTTTTTCATTCCCACAATTGCACATGATATAATCCTCTTATTATTAGTTAGCCTAGGATGGCCATTTACATCTTCTCGAAATAAGTTATTTATTCCAGCATCTTTAAATTGTATGCAAGTGTTTTTAATAACATCAAACGTAATGCCAACATTTAAGATTTTGGTTATCATAGTTTTAGAAATATATAAAATTACATAAAAAATATAAGGAAGTAATCCATCAAATGCAGCTATGTTGTCTTTTCTGAATCTTATATTTTGTAAATTTTGAATAACTCGGGAAAGTGATAGAACTTGGTTTTTCAAATCAGCATTCGTTATTGCAACTTTATTTAATATTCGTTCTAGAGTTCTGACATCATAAAGTGCATTATGAGCTCCAACTGTTGATGCCTTGCCCAGTAAATCACAGGTTAAAATACGCTGATTAAATTTTTCTTTATTTTTTTGCCGTTCTGGCATTTTCATTTTTAGCGCAGGGTACGTATCTGCAAATCCCCCTTTTACTGTTAAAAATTCTTCAAAAAGGCCAGTTTTTTGAATATAATGAATAAAAAATCTTGCACCGAACCTAAGACAATTATGAGCAACTCATACAACATTGTTGCCTATGTTTCTTAAGAAATTTAAGAAACGTTTTAAAGCATCATTTAAAGATTCTCCATTCACAGGATTTCCATGATCAAACATAAGACCACCTATAACTGATAATCCAGTAATTTCCGTAATTTTTCTTGGAATTCCGTTTAATGGAATAACATAAGAATTGAATTCTTGATTTTTGTATTTACATGCAATGTGAGATATTTCGCATAGTAAATTACTATAACCTGTCGTTTCAAGATCAAAAATGACGAAACATATGTCTGCTGGAATATTTTCATTCAGTATTGGCTTATCAATAAACTCGGAATTTCTCTGGAGACCACAATTTGATGAATAAGTACAACCTTCTTTTCTTTCAGCAACAATTTTTTTTTTGATCGAGACTTTTTCAATTCTTTTCTTCTTTTTTTAAATTCAGGTTCCTGACAAAAGTCAGCTCGTATTTTTCGCTTGCAATCTTTTTTATATCCATATTTTTCCGTTATTTCACCAGTAGATACTCCGCATTTCTTGTTTAGATCGAGAACATATTTTGTTCCTTCATTTTTTTGGAGAACTGCTGCTTCGACCCTTGCATTATAAGATCCAGAACCTCCATAAAAACGTGATTTTGGTGCTTTACTTGTTACTAAAGCATTGAACGATTCGTTAACTTGGCTGGAACCACAAGGAGCCAACCACAAGTTTTTAGCATTTCTCCAAAAAGGTTCAAAAATTCTTGTTAATGTAGATTTCAAAGACTCCTCTCCTAGTCCCTTTCCACCTGGTAGTCCATTATGTTTATAACTTTCAGGATCGTCTTTGTATTTGCACTAAATACCACAGTCTTGGTGCTCATCAAATGCATGAGGAACTATGTTTTTTATTGCTTTTACTACTGCCGCTACATCATTTTTATTTTGTTTCAAACTGTAAGTGAAACAGTTTTTTCAATACTCAATCACATGCCTATCAATCTTTTGAGCCCAAAGTTCTTTACTCAATTTTTTTTGTTGTATGATTTACATCAAACCATTTTTCAATAGAATAATTGGATTCTCTTCTAACTGCAGCAATTGTTGAACAATCAACATCTCCAATAAGCGTACCAACAACAACATTTTCAGACACTGCCTACATCTTATCAAAAAAATACTGGCGAGACCAGCTTTCGCTTCTTGTTCAGTATTTTGAATTGCCAAAGGAATGCCACAAGTTTTACACCATAATTCTTCCATGAGTAAGGGAACATCAAACGTTCTGCACCCAGTTGTCGTATGAGTACTTTCTTCATAAATTATTTTCCTTCTTTTTGCAGCGATACTTAATTTCTCTCTCCATTCAGTTTTTGATTTTTTTTCAAAACGTCCTTTGTGTCTAACAGCACTTACCGCTACTCACAGTTGAATATTATTTGTCATCAATTAGTGCCACACTCAGAAAATGAAAATTAAAAATCGCGATGTTGCCATGTCTTATGCAGTAAAATGAATATAGAAATAAATAAAATATAAGAATGTTTAGTTTGAGAATCGTTAGTAAAATATTATATACATTTACAAAATAATGGAAAACAATTTTTTTACACAGTTTTACAGCCTCTATCAAATGATATCCAATCATCTATAAAAATAATTTATGTTGGTATTATAGTCAAAATAAATACTTGACACTAATTTTATATTGTTTTTTTTTCGTTTAATAATTACAAAATTATTTTTTATCGCTAGAGGAGAGTATTTAAATTTATATAGCATATAATTGCTATTGCTCCATTACGTTATTTTTCTGAATAAACGAATAAATTACGGACACTCAACAACTTAAGATTCCTGCAAAAACTTCCTGAAAAAATGAAGATGCAGAACGAATTTTGCCTCAGATATATTAGTTAAAATAAAATTTGTCATAACCCTCCTCAATGTCTTCCAAAACCCAATTTTACGTTTCGCTTAACCCTCCACGCCCAATTGTTCTGATATTTACTTGGGCTTTTAACTTCCTGTAAGATAATGAGACAAATTTGATATAATTCAAAAAAGCCACATTCTTTATTATTTGAACGTTGCTCCTTCGAATGAGCAGCAGAACATTTCAAAAACATTGCAATTCACCCCTCATTTTTGCAGAAATAGCAAGCAAAGTTTGTTTTGATGTTTAATTATTTCTCAATTTTTGAGTCTTATCATAATGTAATTATAGAAAATAAACACTGTAACACGACGTGTTCTGTGAGGATCGTTTGAATTAATTTTGGCATGTTCCTATTGTAAGACAAAAGGATAAGGACAATTAATATTTAAAAAGAAGTTTATTAAAATAACAGATTCAAATACAGAATTAAAGATATGATGTCTAAGATTCTTTCTGAGAATCATGTCCACTAATTTTCTATCAATAGAGAACGTTACAAAAATTGGACCAAGCCTTTACAAAACTACTTTTTAAATTATTTAAAAAAAATTCGAAAAAGTATTAGAACGTATAGGATTGGAAATAAACATAAATATAGGCGAGAATACTATTTACAACGGAATCTCTAATGCTGACAATTTTACATCTTCACCTCTCATATTAAACTATAGTAAATTTTCATACCACCTGCCTAACATGAAAATAAATTCCACATCGTCATCACATGCATTCTATGAAAGAAATTATTTACGAACTTAAATCACTTTAGCATACGTAATCATTGATGATTCAATGTATTTCTACAGTTTTATAAATATTACAGACTAGGTAAAATATAAACATGCATTACAAATTGCAGTCAGTGAGTGACAACTTAAGAAAACGCGAAATGTCCAACTTTTATCCATGAAATAAATATGGCTGAATGATTTTCAAATAACTTTCAACTTTTAATCTTTGGAGTTAAATAACTTTTTAATAAACTCATGGAAAATGAGTAAACAATATATATACAATCTAATCGTCGAACAAACGTCGTCAACTAACAAACTGGCGTTAGTCAATTAATCTATAGATGGACACAATCATACATTTGACAATATATATGATTGCTAATTTTACCAAATTATTACTT